TAGCCGAGAGATTTACAACCTCGAAAGGGGCATCTATTTACTTAATCAGAGTTCGTTGTATTTCAAGTGTAAGTAAAAAGGCTTTTTGTTAATTAGCCTAGCGCATGGTCGTAGGTTAGGGGAAAAGTGTAAGCTGAGGACGTGAGGCGGGCGGTCGTCGCGATGCAATTTCCAGGGACTAATTGAAGAAAGTGAGAGGGACAGTGGGCTGACTGGCGGACATTGGAGTACGCGTGTCGATCGGTGCTCGCGCCTGGTCCGTCGTTCGGTAGCCTGAGGGGCTCGACGGTGATCCGTGATTGGGACGGGAGAGAGAAGAGGTTCGGTAGACTCCGCGACGGTGTTGGGGCGGCCGGTCGTGCGAGCCACGTGCGTTTTCGGACCCATCGCGTACCCCGGCCCTCGCGACGACCCGGTAAAAACAATGGGATGGCTGAACGAGGTCGAGGCGGTGAATGAAAGTCCACGCGGTAACGCCTATATGGCCCTCCCGGCCCCGCGGGCACTCTGCCAATTAATGGCCCACTCGACGCATTAATGTGCCGTGATGCGTGTGAGTGCGTGAGAGCGACCGGGGACAAGTCGTCGGCGTTCCAAGGTTGTCGTGGCTCCGGCGATACGTCGCAGCATACTTTTAACGCGCCTGGTGGTTTATTGGCTGCTATTTATTCGGGCTAATGCCTCGGGCGTGACGGGATTCGGCTTCGGCCGGCCGACGGTGTCAAGTTTCCCGGTTGCGGACGATAGGGTGAGCTACTCATTATCTACGCTATAGGAATTTCGTCTGATTGATGGTAATGATGCTGGGCTTACGGATTCATGATGATTTTCGTTTGTCCGTTGTCCGGGTTCTCTCCGCGCCTCTGCGCCTGCGTCCCAACAGTCGAATATTATCGTAATCCAACGTTGGCTGCTTCGTGAACTGCTGGCGGAAGGCACCGCGTCTGTTATTTATCAGTGTATTAAATGATTTCTGTAGCACTGGTAATGTTGACTTTATACTAATGCGTACGCGAGTCTGTGTAGAGTCAGCAGTTGGGCTTATAATCTGCAGCTAGAAATTGCTAATGTGTCATTCGTTTTGAATAACGAGACTCGATTAGCGCGACAATGACGCTAAGTTTTATAAATATTATTCGGCTGATATTTGTGCGGAGATGTTGAGAAATTTAAGAGCCGATAGAAGAAGCTATGGAGGCTGTGAGTGTGATTATCGTATTTCTGGGGTGTAAGTCTCGAGAGATTGCCCATCTTGGAATAATAAATTTCAAAATACCTCGAAAATTAGAAGGAATTATAATTAGGTTATTTAAGACTTAAAATTAACGCGTTTAAAAGTATTTTCAATGCCTGACATTTTTCTTTGTTTTCTATTATCATTCCTTCTTTTTTCTTTTTTCTTTTTTCATTTTTCTTTTTTTATTACGGTAATCCGACGTGCTATGTGCCTGAAAATTAAATAATTTTTCATATTTCCTGCGTAACAAAGACACGTAATGAGAAACACGATTACCTCTGACATCTTCTTCTCTTACGAAAATATGCAAAGTGAAATACAATTACTTACCTTACGAGGATTTCTTCCTCGGAGCTCGCCCACTCTGAAAAATAAAAGAGGGCAAACAACTTCTCTCGTTAAAGGAGAAAAAAAGGAGGAAATAAAACTATAATTATTTTTTACGAATTGCATCCATCCGTTAAGAGCGAAACTCTTACAAACTTTTTTTCTCTCTTTATTTTTAAGCTCTGTAATAACGATTAATCAGTCGAGGTTTTGAGCAGGAGTGTAAAATTTGTACAAAAAAAAGAAAGAAAAAAGAATGAAAAAAGAAAGAAAAAAGAATGAAAAAGGAAAGAAAAAAGAAAGAAAAAAAAAAGAAGAAAAAAGAAAAACGAGGCATACAGCGCGATATATTTTTTGCTCTTGGATCGGGCGCATTTCGTGATATAAAAGCGACGCCCCGCACTCGCTCGATTTCAAAAAATAAACAGAGAAAACCTTGAGACAACAAAAAGTAAACCGCGCACCTTGTTATTCTAGTGCAAAGCAGACGAAATTGTTCTTCCGCCACAAAGACGAGCGAAGCTCCATACGAATTATTTCGATATACAAACAGGCCATTATCCCGCCAAATTCAAAAGAGCCGCATCATTTTTTCCCTCCCTCGCGCCCTTACCCCCCCCCCCCCTCTATCGCATTACTAACTGTATTTGCGCGACCTTACATAAAAGATTCGAGGTAGCCGCGAGCGGACCGCTCGCGAATTCGGGAGCCAGCATCCCTCGAACCGACTACCCCTAAGCCGCGCTGTCACTAACACATCCGGTGACGTTGTTCCCTCAAAAAGACGGTCAAATCCCGGAAATATCAGATTTCTCGTGCGAGCACCGAACTGGGACTCGGAGAGTCGGCCCTGCTCTCGCCCTTCGTGGCTCCTCCGCTCTTCTGCTCCAGTTTCTCGAGTACGCTCGCGCCTCTAGCCGCTCTCTGCCCCCTCGAGAACTCCGCCCGAAGGGATCCTTCCCGGGATATTGCGAAATAGCGTGCAAATGTTTATCTCTCTCCATGTTTTCGTGCATTTCCCCATGGGGTGACCTACTCGACATTGGGCATTGTTTCAGCAAATAAATGCAAGATTGGATGGACTTGTCGACAGTAAGGGGAGGTAGACTCGTTGTTCATATTTTCTTCTGGCTTTAGCATGAAATTGCAGGACTAAGAAGGACGAATTTTGTGCGGTAAATTGATTGCTCACTGGTGTTTTGTGCATTAAAATTCAATAAGTCATTTAAATTGTTATGTACGGTTGTTAAACTTTATTTTCTTACAAACATTTTCAAAACATGTTTCAATGAACGTTTTCGTATTTCAAATAAGTAGGCCCTCAAATCATTTGCACTTCACTTTCGTTTCGCGTACACGCAATCTCTCTCTCTCTCTCTCTCTCTCTCTCTCTCTCTCTCTCTCTCTCTATCTATCTATCTATCTATCTATCTCGAATGATTACATTAAAAAATATTTGTAAAATTTTAAGGTACAAATATGAAATTATTATATATCAATCAAATATTAATTCAAAAACATATTACTCACTCAATGTGAGCCCTAACATATAGTTTTAAAATTACAAATATTTTGTATTTTCTGTCGATAGGATAACGTTTTTTAATGAAAACTTTCATTACACAAATAATATTAGTCAATGTCCTATACACATCGTATGTTTAATATCGATCAGACTATACTAATTTGTCTAATGTGCGGAGATCAATCAACGCAATTCATTATAATTAAACGCAATGATAAAAATAAACTCGAAAGAAAAATAAAACGGTCTAACGTACAACGATATTTGTTTGTTAAATATTCGAATAAACATTAGAAATTCAAGCATATGGTAAATATAACAATAATTAATGATAATAGATCAACGGTAAAAATGAAATAAACATTTTTAACAATATAATATAAACGGCAATGAATTTTCTATCAAAGTTAATATCTATAATAATTCCAACGAACATTAATCAATGAAGTTTGGGTAAACATAGATATTGTTTTAGCTTGATATTCCATAGAAAGATACGCTAAATCGTCAGATAAAATACAAAGCTTTTTTTATCAACTAATATTTTAATCGACATAAATTTAATATTGAATATGGCATAATTGCATGCGTGTGTGCGTGCGAGGGCACACGTGTGCGTCTATATTTTACTCTCTACAGGTACAATCTTATTGACACACGTTAGTTACATTATGTTTGCCCAACCTTTATTAAAAAGAATGACCAACGAATATCATTTTAATAACAAAGTATTTCATTGCTGTTAACGAACGATTCTCTGCTTATTAATAATATTCTGAATAATTTTCTTTTACACGAGCATAATTGTACCATTGATTGATTTTATTTTTCGCGACAACTGATAAGGTCTTTGACAATTTATAAGGATTTATTTCGTACATTATGAAATATTAAAAAAAAAAAAATCTTAAATACAGAATAATCGTAGCACATTATATTCTATCAAACATATATTACAATATTTCGTAAAATTAATACTCGTAATAAATGTATTGATAACATATCTCTACAACGCCCTCTAAGAAAATTGTACTATTGTTTAACAAATGTAAACTTGTTTAACAAATTTTCTTCACCAATACTGAATATAAATTTTCATAATTAAGAAGAGAAAGCGTATTATAAGATTTATTCCGATATTAAGAATGTAAACTAATTGTCAGTGCCTTTACTCAAAGGCCTCTATATTATTTCTATGATCATTGCTTGTCAAACATTGTTTTTGTTTTGTTTTTGTTTTGTTTTTATTTTGTTTTTATTTTGTTTTGTTTTGCTTTGGTTTTTTAATCCCTCTCAAAGCAATAAAATCAATTTCAATCATTTAGAATCTATAATCGACAATTGATCTTAAAGATGCTTTATCCATTAATGCCAATTAAGTGCTCGTACAACAACTGAAACTCGTAAGTTTAATTTGATCGTATTGTGCAGGATGTATGCCAAAATTAGATAAGCCATTTTGAAATTTATTCCTCACAATACGTTTAAGTGTATCCTATTAATGTATAAAATTTATCTCGTATATAATTAACCATTATGATGACGCAAATCAAATCAAAGGATAACGTATCAGATTAATTAATTACCACTAAACTTCCTACAGTATATTAGAATGAAATCAATAACAAATAATTAATGAGAGTAGGAACATTATGAGTTCGCAAATATTGAGTGTATATTTAAAGCAGCCGTTATTCACAAAAAAAAAGGCAGCACCGCTTCGTAAAAAGTCATTGAAGAAATAATTTTTATTTCTTTGTATACAACAGTCAAGTACTTCATACAATATATGATTCTCTAATAGCCTTTTTCTCATCGCGCTTCATCCAACTTCAATCCCGCACATCCTGCTAGGACATCGGACTCTGGCCATTAATGGGTAATTCGCCATTCGGGATCGAAAGATGGCTCGATTAATAACTAGTAACCACGTTGGGCGACCGGTAATCAATAACGTAGCGTCCCTTTTCTATATCAAAGTCCTTGTAAAGCGAGGGCACCGAGCTAACCACCGAGCGCGCATGGATGAGTGCCGGGTGTGAGTGATGGGGGTGGGGTTGAGAGAGGAGGTGGGATGTGGAAGGGGGAGAACGAGGAGGCACGAGAGTACTCGACCCTTATCAGCTAACGACGTTCCTGATATCCTCAATGGCCACGAGCATCCTCATGAGTATGCTCCTATTCTCCTCGTCGCGCCTCTTGATGTACTCGAAGAACTCGGCGATCCTCCTTTCAAGCCTGGTCTCGCTCTCCTGGCCGGGCTCTTCGGTATCCCGACCGCGTTTCCTCGGACGATTCCCGTCTCCGGGGCACTCCTCGGAGTCGGGCGAACCGTTAGTCGCTGTCGAGATGGGCTCGAGAGCCGGGAGTTCGGCGCCGCTTCTGCAGATCGGCCTCATCGAGAGCTCGACGGCAGCCGGAAGCCGCGCCAGTAGTTCGACCCCGTCCGCGGGGGCAAGGCGCTTCCTCGTACTCGTCGTCGATCGTCTGCAATCAAACAGCACGAATGATATTTTTAGTTTTTCTTAAAGGAGCCGGAATTGGGAGTGGGCAAGCAGGATTGGGGTTCTCGAGCATAAAGATGCCTGAGGCTCAAAGTGGAACAATATTTATTATGCCAATCCTTCGATTATAGTCGAGGAAAAATTATTTCTACTACAAGAGTACGCGCTCGTGTACGTGTGCGCGTGCGTCGGATTAAAAGCACCGAGTCCTTTCGACGTGGATTATCTCGTCGGCCTTTGCTGACGTTAATCGACGACTTGGCGACTTGACGGTGCGTTGCCTCTATTTATGTTTAATTTTCTCTTTTTGAGAATTGTCGGCGATTTACGTAATAGTTTTTTTTGAATATACCGATTTTCGCTACTTTTGTATTAAAGAAACGTACAGTTTTCTCAAACTATTCGCCATATCTTATTTGATATTTAATATCTTAATATGAAGCTATGGTTTGATCTTTTTTAATACTATATCGATACGAGCAGCGATACGGACTCGATCGTATTAGTGAAATTTTTTTTTTTTTTTTTTTTTTTTTTTTTTTTTTTTTTAATTTATTTTAAATTGGATGGCATTTAGTATTAGCGGGAGCAAGTTTTCAATGAATATTTTTTTTACAATTGTTTTTGCTTTGGAAACTATATATAGTACTATTACCGTCATCGTCATCATCCGACTCTGGTTTATCGAAATAATTGTAGACACAAGCAGTTAATTGCTTGAAAATGTATCAATCCGTAAATTCAAATACAAGTGTCTGTATATATATATATATATATATATATATATATACATATACGTATTTATACGTAAACAGGTATATCTGCATGCATTTGTCATTTGAAAATTTTCGATTTTTCTTCCTTCATCGATATCCTTTTGCTTTTTCATCTATTACTTCAATAGTACAATATTTCCATATTGTTAAAACGACTGAACGTAAAGAATTTAGTCCTTTTGATGGCCATCATACGTCATTGTATAATTTTTCGAAGTTTAGTTGGGAGGTTGGCTTATCGGTAGTTTAATTGTTAACATCGAATCCTATAGAGTTGTGATGACATTCTCACTCTGTTAATTAACAAGAAATGCCACGAACAAAATTGCCAACTTTGATGTCTCACCAATGCTAAGCTTTTGTGTACAGCTAGGAAGGCTTTTAGTTAAATATACAAATAATTGGCCAATAATATAGATTCTTAATGTTGCAGGGCATAGTATTTTGAGGAAAAATCGATAGTTTCATAATGCCGGAGAATTGCATAGAAAGGATATGTGTGTATAGGTGAAATTTATAATATCAATTTTTTGAATTACGAGAATAATTGTAAAACAGTGGGTTCCGATATGCCGATCCTACGTTATTAATTACTTAAAAATCAAATATCTTATAACGTACTGCTCAACTCTATGAATTATTTAGTACGACTACAACATATACATTCAATGATGAAATAAGAATTTAAATCTCGATTATCCTTCTAATCTCTCAGACTTCTTTAAATTCGAATTTCCCGTGCATAGATTACGAAGTATCTAGTACACAGGAGTATCGAATAAAAGATAATAAACTGCAATAGTCAACTTAGAATCTGCAGCATCCATTTCAATAAGAGTCACCATTACTTAATTATCACACGATGAGCAAAGTATTGGATTCGAGAGAGCCATTTATTTGATTCGACTTGGCTCCAGGCTTACCAAATCGATCTCATGGGGTGCGTGCCCCCCTCCCCCTCCCCCGATGAATCGATAAAAGACGCCTCACCTTGTCGTTCTCTCGGAGAAGGAGTCGCTCACAGGACCACGTCTGCGCTCCTGTCTGAGCGGTTGAAGCCTCGGAAGTCCCGGAACTCTTTCGCTTTCGCTGCGCTGATACTCATTGATACCCAGGTGATCGACGCTGGCGCTCTCATCGTTCTCATCGTCTTGAGAAACGGATACGTACAGGAACTCCTGGGGATCAAGGTCTTCGTCGTCAGGAACGTTGTGCTCATCGGTGCAGCTCGCGCGACGCTGTGACGAGGGCAGTCCGAGGTTACCGAGAACCTCGTCGATAGCCGTATAGAAGGGCCAGGATATGTCGTCGGCTCGATTCTTATCTCCGTGCACAGGGTTCTTCAGCTCCTGCAATGGTTTAACTTGGTGAATGCGGCTACGGAGCGAATGGAATTTTCCCGGGGATTACAGATGACTCGTGACACGAGGATCTTTGAGTGAGCTGTCTCGAGGAAATTTAAATGGATTCTTTGCAAGATTTGGGAATATTTATGAATTTGGTGAAGGTATCCTAGCCGAATAATTATAAATGGAGTTATGATTGCGTTTTATTCTAATGCACAATTCCGCTCACTTAATATTTAATCAATGCATTATAATTCGTTTTTAGAATTTCCTTCTTGGCCGATGAATATGCAAGTTCTCGTAGTAAATTGTCCTTGTAAATTGATAAACATACATATTTAACGCAACGTGAAACTCGAGCAAAGGTCTTTTAGATACGTAATTTTCTGTATCAATGGCGGCCCAATCTTCAAGTAACGAACAGATATTAAAATTTTCATTAAAAATTTATATTTATGCTAGTGATATCATTGGAGATTAGCCGATGTTTAATATAGAGGAATTGAATTAAATTTCTTTTTTTTTTTTCATTGACATTGCTTTTATAGGTGATGAAATTCATTTATACGTTAGTTATTATAGATTTGTCTGACAATTGTGATTAGTAGCATAATTAATAACGAGAAAGAGTTATTTTATTTACACTGCATCATAATATATAATAATAATGTTAACGTTAGTACAAAGTTCATCACAATGTTATCATTAGCATTAATAAGTATTTAAGGAATAATGTAAAATCTCCTGAATCTTTAGAAGTAGAATAGTTATGAAACAAAATTGTAAATATTTATTTATCATCTATCATTGGAGCATATGTGTATATGATTATAAATAACTTTATTTAAATAATGACGCTGTTTACTAAAAATAATTACAATACAATTTGAAATCGTTAAATCTTACAATGCGGGAAATTATTTTGATTCGATTATTAGATTGTATTCTGTTTTTCTCAATACGTTATCAGAGGCTATGCGGTAATGATCTGCAGCATATGATTTGTACAATGTAGATATTTTATGACATCTCATTGACATTATAGTGTGTCGAATTTCTTTGGAATGCGTGTATGTATGAATAAATAATTACATATCGATTAATAGTGTTTTATGAATTGAGCCTCTCAATGACGAAGGGATTATTAGATGAAATGCCTTGGCCTTTGATGTGATGAGAGTTCGACTTTACAATCTCAATCTATATACGTATTATTCATACATAGGTATATTTAATTAGAAAGTGTATGCTCACTTTATATTGCTGCAATAAGTTAGACCATTTCTTCTTAAGTACTCGATAGTGAACGTCAGCCATAATGGTTGGAAACTCTTCTCTCATTTGTCGAAGAATATACCTAGTAAAATGGGAAATTTTCAATGATTAATTTACAATTAATAATTTTACACTCCTTGAGATGAAATTTACATAAATACACAACTTTACCCATGAAAAAAAAAACAAAAAAAAAAAAAAACATTTTCGTTCAAATTTTTTAAGAAGAAAATGATAGAAGTTTAAAAGAAAGCGCTACAGTGTTATGTATTATTTTTCGTGTACTTTCTGCACTTTTGTACCTCCAAATAATATGCTGTTTTCAATTAGATCAGGCCCAATCAAGACTCCGAAAAATGCTAACCAAAAAATGATTTAATTAAGTTTAATTTACAAAAATTCACAATATATTGTCTTCTCATATCTCCAATCTTATATTGAAAATATTGAAAATAATGCCTAAAGCAATGGCTTCGTAAAAATTTAAATTGCAATTTTTATGTACGATGTTTCGAAATCTGTTCAATATTTAAATCATTCGAAACTGATAGCGATTCACGATAAGTAGTATTAAAAACTTTACAATTTCGAAAGAAATACTTTGATTTGAAAAGTTTCTTTATAAGAATTCCGTTACACGTGAAGTCCACAATCGCAATTTTACTCATACTTAACGAGGCAGAAAGTTCGGCAATTAAATAATGCATGAATATTATAGTAAAAATTTAATTCACATAATTTAAATAACAAGAAATACGATTAAAATAAAGTTAAGCATGAAATATCCATATCCTATAAATTAATTTTGATACGCTCGATTTACTTCGGGTTATATCAGTCTCTTTATGTTATGCAAGAAACTTTGATAGACGCCAAGTCCGAGTGTAGGTGTAAAGATAGTACAGGCAAAACATTTTATCATGAATCGCATGTGCGCATTAAATATAACATGAGAAAATCATAGTCATCAACAACACAAAAGGCTACGCTTAATGCTTTATTAACATCCGACGTACGAAGCACTGAATTTTTTTTTTTTTTTTTTTTTTTTTTTTTTTTTTTTTGTTTAATACGCCGTTTTGTAAATTCGCCTTACTTTAATATGATTTTAACTCTCTTCCATCTAATTTATACAGATTTATTAGTCAATTTCGAATAATCGCTAAGGTTTATTATTCATATGATTTTTCGATTAAAAGATAATTTCCAACATAATTCATCGACAAACGTTCTCTTATATTTTTAAGAAAACTCGTAATTGATTAATAAATGTATTATGTATCGACTGTGCGTAGTCGCTTATCCTTTTTAAAATCTAAGAGATCTAATCGGCCTGTGAAAGTAAATCGAACATTTATAAAATCAAATACAATATTGACGCGGAAGAGTGCAAAGTCACGTAATTTAACACCAAATTGGTCGGAAGACGGAACATTTGATACGAGGAATTCTCGCACGCGCAAAACACTGTCACATCCTTGAAATTGCATCAACATTGCAAACTTCATGCTTTATGGACCAAAGTTTAGTTCAATATTTGTTTGTGCATTCGCACGTAGCGTTTTCATATGCACTTAAATACACTATAGAAATAGCTTCCGTCATACGTATGCGTCATAATTACAATTCGAGACAAATTTAATCAAGTTTTTACAATTGATATTCGTATGAGTAATAAAAAAAAAACAATAGCAACAACAACAACAACAACAACGATCAAGTAACTTGGACAACTAATGATTAGTTATATAGTTAATTATTTACAGAATTTATATGTTAAGAAAATATTAACCATTAGTGTTTTGAAGAAGAAAAAGTGTTCTTAAAATGTGGTATTTTAATACAAAATTAATTATAATAATTAATAATTAACGAACGATAGCCAAAAGCATGTGCTATTTTAATTTAACGTCGTATCAGTCGAATTATATATATTATATATTATATAAATTAAATAAATATTATATAAAATTCTTTATATGTTCCTGGGCATAGAAGACGATAATTCTACACTCATCCACATCGAAATAGAATCTACTCTCTCTTTTTACACGTAACGCAGTTTCCTAACATCTCTCTACATTTTTCGTGTATTCTATTTCTCTCTCTCTCTCTCTCTCTCTCTCTCACACACACACACACACACACACACTCTCGCTCTCACTCTCTGTCTCTATTCTTACAGGGAAATTTCTATTGAAGGTACATTGCACATTTCGCATGTATATCATGGAAAGCTTTTTCACACCCATTCGGCGCCGTACGCACCTTAAATCCGCAACATTCCCATGCTTATTCTCCGATAACAGTAAAAATTGAAAGTTAAGCGTCTCGAGCAGACAACTTCCATAGCATAATCGTCGGCGACTCCAAATGTCACCTTCGTCCAATATGCCAGGGAGTGGGAATAAGCTCTGAGTGGCAATATGCGCACGAGATACAACGACCTTCCATTGTCGTCATCGTCCATATTTTTGAGGCCTTAGGTAAATCGATTAGCGCTGCTTGCCCATACGTGGACAGATTTGACCAAAAAATTGCGAGAAAGTAGAAATTCGACTCATGCCGGCGTACTATTTCCCAGCGTACTTAAAGTTAAGTACCGCTGCGCCCGCCTTTTGTCCTATACGTATTTATCGCCTCGATTGAATAGTTTTTCATTTCGACATATCTAAATGACCGTTTCTCATTTCTTGTATTGTCAGCGATGAGCTGCGTGCGATATTAGTCACCTGTAATTCCCAAAACAAGGTGCAATTAAACTTTGACACAGAGTGGAAAATTTTTTGCCGTCCTTCCTCCTCTTGAGCACGACTTCGTGAAGTTAAATTAACTTTTGGTGGAATAATACATCGTTACTCATAGGCATTATTGAAGGAAAAGATATTATTGGATTATTCTTGATCTAGATGTTTCTTAATCTTCAATTTCAACTTGGACATGTTGTCAAATTTGAGAATTCACGTCGAGAAAGACAATTTTCTATCTTAACAATACATGTTTCACTCGATTTTGCTTTATAAATTATCATTAGAAATTCTTATGAAGTTGGTAATGATTTGTAATAATTCAAAACATTTGAGTATTTCCTATTTTATCGTTGGCACAAACAATATTCCTTTCTGAAATTGTATTGTTATTCGAACGATTATAAATGTACAATATTTTTTCAGCATAATACATGTTATATTACATATAATAAAATTATATCGTTACCTCTGTATCTACATAAACAATATGCATTTGTTTAAATTGTATTTACGTTGTTTTCTTCATTACTATTTTTCTTTTTCTTATTAGAGATTCTCATTTATAAAGTAACTACGAAAATAATCGAATTTCATTTTATGTGCAATATAAAGTGTTGTTAATAAGCTTCGCGCTCAAAGTCTTGTCATTATCGATATGCAATAAAATCTTGGGTATTCTTCTTGTAAGAGTTATTAAGCAATTATTAAGACTTTAAAGAAAAAAATAATTTTTTACATCATTAGTCGAAGTAAAAAGTTTTTGCTATAAAAAATAATATTACATTAAAATTAGAATTACGTTTATTCGAAAACTTTGCAAAAATTCCACACACTTACAAATACATATATTTATTAATTTGTTTGTTTATGTATATTTTTTTATTCAGTTATTTATACAACAAAGTATTCGTCACTTTTATTAAATGCTCAAATCTATCGTTAAACTATTATTAGGTGAGACAACTTACATGACAAGCTAATGGCATATAGATTAGTTGATTCAAATTCCTAATTGTAATTCAGACTACATTCTTTTAATTGATAATCTAAATAATCTTTCATACATGGGTACACTGAGCTATTATAAGTCAAGAATTTCATAGTAAATATGAAGATTATTATTGGACACGTGATAGGTGACCATAATTGAACAATACAATAGTAATATAATATTGAGTAAACATTTAATTCCATTGATTTTTCTTATACAATTTTTCTATAATCTTATAGATTATGCATTTCATAAATCGTTAGTTGTCATTCCTAACTGGTGTACTTCATTAAAAAACTTTTTATGTATAATAGTTTAATAAAGAAATTTGTTTAATAATATCGATTTAAATAAAATGCACTAATCAAATTGATTACAAATTATTATCACATATAGGAATCAGTAATTCACCATCGGTGTGTCTGATCAGAGCTTTTTTATTTTCAACATTAGAATTACATGTAATTACTGTATACAATATCATCTTCTTTTGTAGTTGAAAAAAAAATATGCGTAATGATTAAGTCTCGTATAAGCATGCGTTTCTTAAATACTTGTTTACACTGTGTTACGATCAATCGGATAAATATTAATATAAATCATGAAAGATTTGATCGATTTAAAAAAATTATTTTTAAAATATCTTATCATTAACGTACTCATTGTGGCAAATATTATTTTAAATTATTCTTTAACTTTTATTAAATTACTAACTCGAATACAATGTTGTTTTTTATTTTCTAATTCACAAGCTAAAATTTCATTGTCCATTAAATAATGTTTCGCAAAGACTAATTATTTTTGAAAGATTATTTTTTGTAATATTATAATGTTAAATAATAATAAGTATGTAGTAAAACTAAGAACATGGAAATAATAAAAGTGTGGTTATAAAGAAATTTTGTATACATAAATTATAGAAATCTATTACATTGAATATATAAAATTTAATTTAAACTTTTAAAACATGAGTTACTTCAATTTAATTGTAAAAATTATTAATTCATGCAACTTTAAATAGAATTTAAAATTTACTGAAAATATTTCAATTTATGGTTTAATATTTCAAATTCAAATTTGAAATTATTTTACATAAAAATTTTTCGATTTCCTTTACATGCCTACCATTAAAATAATTCTATATTAAATAAAAATATAATCATATTTAGTAACTCTCGTAAAAGTAATAATCAATTAAATATATATATATATATATATATAATGTACATAATATTATTTAAATTATGAGTTTATGCTTTTTAAATTGAAACTTTTTTAAAAAATATTTTTTATTTATTGTGTATCGTTGCAATTGAAATGAAAATTGAGTTTTCGGCGAAAAAGATAACAAATATTGCATTTGTTCTTTATATTTCCTTTAGTTTATAGTGATTATTTATTTTTAATGATATGGCATTGTCATGTCGGTAAAAAAGAAAATTCAACGGTAGTGTAAAATTAAATTTGTAAAACTCGAGAATGTAAAGTACAAAATTTCTACATCGCCAACATTGCAAGACTGTTTGACAAAATGCATTATTAATCTATAATTTAATATTCGTAATTTACAAGAATGTAACGTTTATCTAATTTTACATTCAATATTATATTAATAAAAGCGATGAAACTATGATATAATTTATATAAGGTTATGTATTTAATTTTATTTAGAAATTTTAGATAATTGACATTGAAACAATGAGTAACGGAAATTATATAATTGCTATTCTACATTTAAAAATAAATTAAAATATAAAAATTTTATTTAAATTGAAAAACATTGTAGAGTTTCAAATAAGACGCGCGCCCGTATAAAATTGAGTTTATATTAAATAGAAATTACAGGCTCATTTATAATCATAAAATTGTATACAATTTTGATGTATGAAAATGATGAAGTTTAATCTAATGAAAGAGAAATGTTATTATCCTTGAGATTATCATTGATTAGGCTATTCGTAATATATTCAGAAATGATATAATATCCTACATTTCAATTTACGTAACTAATACCATGATTTTTATATTAATTCTAAATACAAAATAATGCTTCTTGCACCCGATGATGTATAACTAAATGCATGAACTTTCACCTTTTACATCAGACCATTTAATAAATGATTCATATGCACATATGTTAAAAATAAAAATTATAATGGACTTTATTAAGGACTTTAGAACAAATGACTGACTTCTTAATACAATGGAAGTAGGAAAAATATTTTTGGTTAAAAAATATAGTCAAACCCTATTGTACGAAGTATAAATTTTATAAATACTTTTATCTTCATAAATAATAAAATATATGTACATCATTTTATGTGAAAGCCAAGATGTTCTTATCCGTCTATTATTTTCACGAGTAATTAATGTTATTATTGTGTTGATAATATGAAAACTTAATACATAATAATGAATAATCGATCGATCGCTTAAGTAATAAAATATTTAAGAGTACATTTTTATGAATGTATGTGTTGTTAATTATCGTTATATAATTTTTAGCAATCTTTTTTTATTAAACAATTTTTCCAATACTATATCCGAGACTATAATCTTCAGTAGTAGGGATTCATATCACAACACTCACAATTTATAGTAGACCAAAGTAATATTCGATCATGTAATATCATAAGTAGAGGATGCGAAAATTACGCCAAAATACCTATATTCCTTCACATTGTATTAAAAAAAAAAAAAAAAAAAAAAAAAAAAAAAAAAAATGACTTCTGTATAAATACGATCATAAAATGCATTCGTGTTATTATAATTATAATGTGATTTTACAGTCATAACGGTTTGTAGTAATAAACATCATTTGCAATGTTGGGTAAAAACAGTAAAAGCTGCTTCGAAAAAAAGACTATTTATTTAAGGATTAATTTTGTATAAAATTTATTGCAAAATGAAACGTTGAATGCAAATGTAAGAGTGTAAATATATATATATATATATATATATAAGTGCATTAAACATCATTTTAAAATGTAATCTTTAAATATTATTATTTAAATACATTGAAATGTTGTTTTTTGCAGTAAATCCTATAATATACATCATAATGTATTCAATTCATAATCCGCAATATTGAATTATATTTAGAATTAAATAAGTTTTGACTAATTTGGATTGTTTATTTTATAAATAATTTATTAAATCGCTAAAAGGCCAATATTTATTATTTATATTAAAGTTGTATATTCTTAGATAGTATAAGTATTATATTTTAAAATGTATATCTAAGTAGAATGAAAACTTTTGCACTTTACATACTAAAAGAAGTTTATAATATTATTAAAAGCTTAGATAATACCAGATTATCATCAGTTGTTATTGTTTTGTTATTGTACGTAACAAAAATATTAAATTGTTTTATCTGGAATTTACTATAATTTAAATATGTTTATCGATCGGTATCTTTATCTTATTTATATTAAACATAAATTCAAATTTTTTTTCATGAATTTGTCATTTTTTTTTTAATGAAAATGTAATAAATATAAATTAATTGTTTACATTATTATTGAGATTAAAAAAATTAATTTTAAGTTTTAAAACTTAAGACAAGTGCATTATCAGGGACAGTTTCTTGTTGTTTTTTTTTAGATTTTCATTAATAATTCTCAAAATTCATCCTGCTCCCAGATCAATAATACGAATTAATAATAATTACTTATTTATATTGGACCTCAACTTTTACTAATTTTTAAACTTTATTGAAATGAAAAAGTTTTAATGGCTTCGAGATTTCATTCCATTATTTTACGATTATAAAGCCTTGTACCTACGAATATGTATCAACAAAGCGTTAAGTTATGCCTTAATCCCAGTTCCAATTACAAAATAGAAACATATTACAATCTCTTATAAAAACAAAAGTAAAATAAACTATATCGAAATTATACAATAATAAATTTCTAATAAATTTATTATGCACTAGTCACGCCTGTGTATGTAAATTGTAAATCACATTTACAAGCAACATACTTTTTTTCTATACTTATAAAAAATCGTTAAAATCGCATGTTTTCATGGAGCTTTGATAACATTTATTAATTAATATAGACGGCAGTTTCGCACTGAAATGGCTACAGATCTTTTAAAATGTAAATTATAAATTTGATCAAGCTTTTTCAACTACATTAAAGTGAAATTAGAGTGTAAATCAACAAGGCATTTAATGTGCAGTTAAAACGCTACTCGTGAACTGTTTGATGAGGGCCGATTATTGGCTGATCATTACTTTTTTCCAAATGAAGTGCATTACAATCTTACAATATTTATTCTATAATATTTATAATTGGAAATTCCAGTTTGATTTTTCTCGTGGTATCGAAAGCTGTTAATTAGATGGACTTTTACGTAGCATTTATTCAATTTTATTTTCCTTTAATATACGTACATCCTTTCTTTCTGTCTTTTTTTTTGTTTTATGAATATGATGATATTTAAATAAAGAATACGTAATTCAATATTTACAATAATAATAAAAAAAACAAAAAAACGTATGCGCATGTACAGATGGCCAGCTATTTTTATTGATCTGATTGATTGAGAAGTGAAATTTCAATAATTATATAAGTAAATTATTGAGTGATTATAATTATCATATTCATTATATTTTCAGTACTATTATTTTCAAAAATTTTACAACATGAATTGTCTATTATTTTTAGTTAACATAAATAATAAAAGCGTTTCGTTTATTGTCCAAGTAAAGTGTATGACCTTATATTTGTTAATGTTATTCATTTCATTATTTAAGTCAAGGCTCGCATGTATAATAATACTAATCAGCATATTTTTTAACTAGAATAATCGCTGCCTCCGATGTTTAAACTTAAATTTAATTAGATAAAATGTATGCGTAAGTATGTTGCTTGCGTGCATTTATATAAACCCAGCACGTGTTTATGAAAAAAAATATTTACAATGTTTCTTCTGTTTTAAGTACTTGTCATAATATGCTTAAATAATATACTTAATTATTATATTATATAATGTATTATTATGTATTATATGGCATTGCCATATATACCAAATACAAGAATGTATTATTGTAAAAAAATATTTTAATAAATTTGCAACCATACAGAAGACATAAAAAAAAAAAAAAAAAAAAAAAAAAAAGGATAGGAATGTATTACGAATAACTTATCACGTTTCAATATAGAGTATTATCAATTTGATTTAAAAATTTGTTATAAATCAGTTGCTCCTTTCACTTGTAATATTAATTATTATTTTCGATGAATATAGCATACAAAAATAATTCAGATATTTACATGGGATTTTTTTTTTTTTTTTTTTTTTTTTTTTTTTAACCAATAAACTACAAGCTCCTGAAATGAAAATGTATTGTTATTTTAAAAGTGGTTATGAAAATAGAATGCATACACACTGTGAAAATTGCAGATAAGAAGTATGGAAATAAATTTTGATTACAAGAACGAGAAAATCATTATAATGGTTTTTTACTTTATAACTTTTCACTGCGCATAAGTTTTTTAATGAAATGGATCTAATGGTCTGCGATATATTTAAATCTAAAGATATAATATTATATGTTCTGTCTAATTCTAGAGTGCAGTCATAAATTTTGAATAATTATAACGAGCATTAATCCAGAATGCTGGATATCCGTAAAGTGAATTTAATGTTTTTTAACGTTGGTGCGGGGGACGAGGGGACGAGGGGCGAGGGGGGAGGGGGGAGGGGGTGTTAGAGGGTAAGAAGGAGCCTTATTTGCCGACACATCTCGAGTTACGCTTTTCATTTCAAAGAGCGTTATTTTATTATTTTATGGTGCATGGGCCCGTAATTTATACTCACTCCCATCCAACCTGGGCCGAATACTTCCGTCCCGTGAACATCTTGCCGTGCTCCTTCCTCAGCTGGATGAACCGGCAGGTGAGATTTTCTGTCCCTGTAAAGGAAAAAAGACGCGGCCGAGAGTTAGCGTTGTGCTCGAGATACCGGAGACTCTCTCGAGGTCGCCCCCAATGCGGATATAATGGACGGATGTTGGAGGTTTCTTTTTGTTGCGCCTGACAACAACGCGTGCCTTTAAGTAAAAGTGTGAACGTTGTTTCGGATTTTGTGCGATCGCACGGGCTAATAACATCCCGTTCCGTCCTATCCTTCCGCCCATCTTCACCGCCTCCCTCTCCACCCACGCCCCCGTTCGCCAATCAAAAATTAATATATACGCGCGTAAACACACGCTCGTAATCGCCGGATAAATTGGCTGCCGATTATCCTTGGGCTTAGTTATTTCCTTATCCCTCGCGATCTTTATAAATTGTCCACGATGCCTTAAAAGTAATAATCGCTTAAATTGTAGTAGCGTCGATTAATCAGCCACATGTGCATTTAATGAGCAAGACCATTAGAGGGTCCGATTGTACTGCAGATTATCCATATCATAAATCAATGAAAAATATTAAAGCTGCGTAACTTTACTTAACGACTTTTGTCAAACATTACACTCGCCATCGAGGAATTACATAACTTCGTTAACATTTTAATCTGGCAGTGCAAATACGGCATTACCATTACGTTTCAAAACACTTGCGCGGACTTGTGTTTCACACAACGTCTGTCTTTTTATTTTTCTTTTTTTCTTTTTATTGAATTCGATCGAGCGAACAATAGGCATTTGGAGGCTGACGACAGGCTCTTTACATCATTACGGACGCGAGGCCCGCGTTATTTGCGAATATCTGCTCTAGCTGCCTTCTTCCCCCAGCTCAAGAGCGATTGATGATCGCGTTGACAGCAAAAAAAAAACTGTTTTACCGCGGGAGCAGCGATCGTTCGATTGTCATTCGAGCAGATGATAGAGCAGCAGCCAAGCCGGAACGCTATAGCTTTACGGCTAAAAAGAAGGCCTCAGGGCCAAAACAACAAAATTCTTCATATAAAATTAAAGTAGCGCAGACGGGAAACGAGCGATAAGAAACTGATAAGCGCCATGATAAATAAACAGCATCGAGCGACGCTTGCCACGACGACTACGACTACGACGACGACTACGATGACGACTACGACGACGACTACGACGACTACGACGACTACGACGACGACGACGACTACGACGACGACTACGACGACGACTACGACGACGACTACGACGACGACTACGACGACGACTACGACGACGACTACGACGACGACTACGACGACGACTACGACGACGACTACGACGACGACTACGACGACGACTACGACGACGACTACGACGACGACTACGACGACGACTACGACGACGACTACGACGACGACTACGACGACGACTACGACGACGACTACGACGACGACTACGACGACGACTACGACGACGACTACGACGACGACTGGACAACGTGACGAGACGACTATGACAACGTGGACAACGTGACGACGACGACGACGACGACGACGACTACGACGACTACGACGACGACTACGACGACGACTATGACAACGTGGACAACGTGACGAGGATAGTAGCTATAGTGAGAGCGACGATGGCTACATAAGCCCGACGGGGATAGCCGAAGCGTGAAATATTCGCGTCGCGAGAGCGAAAAACGGAGGAAAAGCGAATAGCGAACGGTGAGGAAAAAATGGCGCCATAAAGTCTAGGGCACGTAGACGCGGATAGCGGCCCCGAGGCACTCGTGTTCGCGAATAGAAGTGGAGATGGAGGATGGCCGAAGGCGTGGGCAGGGCCGGCGGGAGGGGGATGAGGGAGATGCCCGACGGCGCCCAGGAACTCACATCGAAATTTGGCGTGGTGGTATACGTGGCTGCTCGTCATACTGCTGCTGCCGCCTGATGATCGGCTCCTCCTCCTCCTCCGCCGCCGCCGCTGCTGCTGCCGCTGCCACCGCCGTCACCGCCGCCACCACCACCGTCCTCGTCTTACTCCGCGGGTCAGTGCCAGTCGGTCGAGCGGCCCCCGGGCGAAGCCTTATCATGTTCGGCGAGAGCCCTGATGCGCACTGAAATCTAGACCCCGTTACACGGGCTCTCGCTCCCTGGTTTTTGGACCCCTCTGCCAGAGACTCGATCGCTTCTGCCTCCGCCGCCGCCGCCGCCGCCACCGCCACCGCCATCGCCACAGTCATCGCCACCGCCACCGCCGCTGCTGCCGCTGCCGCTGTCGCTGCAAGCTGCAAAAACTGCAACCGCTGCGGAGAGCGTGCGAGGCGACCTCGGGCGGCTGCTCGTGGAATAGAGACTCGGAGAGGAGCAGCGTCTTCGGGAGAGTGATCGCCAGTCGGTAAGGCGAGACACTACGGTCTCGATCGTTCCGGGGTTCCTTCACGCTTTGGCCTTGAGCCGCTGCTACGAATCGTATATCCGGCCGAGCGCTGCCGAGACGAATATTTTTTTTTTTTTTTTTTTTTTTTTTTTTTTTTTTTATATATATACATTTATTTCCAACGCCTCGCCTCGGACGTTGGCTGCAATTCCCAGGTGAAATAATTGAAATTAGGATGAGAGTCCTAGCAGGAGGGTCATACCCTGCCGTGGCTGACTAAAGCGTGTCGCAAGTCCTTTCTTTCATCGGGTTACATATTGTCGCTGTCGCTGTTGCTGTTGCTGTTGCTGTAGGCTGTTGCTGTTGCTGCAGGCTGAAGTAGGAACGTCTGGCAAATTAATTGTGGAGAATGAAACTCAACGCAGCACTTGGGCGAGGCAGAAAAAAAAGAAGACGATAGGCCGATATTGTTACGAGCGGGAGATCGCGTTTCCCGGCGCAGGCAAATTGTAATAATTTTTCGAAATTGTAATAATTTGGAAAAATATCTAGTGCCGCTTAATGCCTAATGAAAATGAAAAAGTAAGAGCAGCTAGGAGAGATTGAAAGCAATGGCGAGTTACATCGGACTCTCGCGTTAGCCGGCATTGAGCCCGGCGCGCGCTAAACGTGTGAACTTCCGAAGCGCATCGAGTTTCTTTGGAGAAAACAAATGGCCCTTGTGTTAGTGTGAATGTGGACAATAGAAACTTGCATCGATCGTTTTTGTGCCTGTAGAGTTTAGGTTACCGCAAAATCATTCTTGTTGAAGGCCGCGATTGAATTTTAGCTTCACACAGTTTACGCGATGAAAATCGTCCTTTGGTTTTGAGTGGCCTTAAATAGTTTTATAAGCGATAATTCATCAGCAACTAGTTAAACGTAATGCGGCAAATGCGCATTTTACAGGCCTATTTTAGCAAAGTGACTTGACAGTTATTGCGCGCTAAAGCATAGAAATTGTAGTTGAAATAAAAATCGAAGGATCTCATAATGGAACTCGTAAGGAAGTCTTTGCTTTTGAATTAAAGATGGCTAATGCTGGGATGTTGGTCAAGCAAATTGCATTTCCAGCTGAAGGCCAAGGGAATGGAGCGGCCCGCGCATTTCCTCGCCATAACTAATTCCCTTAGCTACTCGTACGCAACATACGCTGATTGTTCTACTTTAATAATTTATAATGAAAAAATAATGGCTACGCAAGGATTTTTGTTTTTATGTCGTTCTAATTTTACACATATTCTTGTTAATACGCATACTTGATAAATGTTAGGGGCACTTAGGTACGAGTACATTAAACAATAATTCCTCAATGTCGATATTAATGTTTGGATTTAAAGAGTCAGTCGCTAATTGTATTATATATTACCCGCGCAAGGATGCAGCGCTTAAGATTAAAATAACATTAAATTAATATAATTATTTCAACAGGTGAATGCAAAAAATGTAATAAAATATATGATAAAATTGTTTAATGCCCCGGGATTACGTCCTATGAGCTTTAACCACGAGTATTGGCCAATAATAATACGCTATGTGGATATCTTATGTCATTTGCTAAAAAGACTAAAAGATTTATGAAAGAAGTATTCGTGGAAATTGCAAATGAATGCTACACTATTTCACGCGTCAATGATTGTTTGAGTTTTTTTTTTTTTTTTTTGACAAAAAATAACATCCCAATAATACCATAAACAGCACTACGACGTTCATCGGATTTGGCCTCACATAGCTTCATTCCAAGAACAAAGAAACCTTTAGAAGGACAATGATTTGGAGATGCTGAAAACATTTAGGAAAAGAGAATTGGTGTGTGAAACTCAAACTATTTCACAAACTACTTTTTATTTTGAAAACTGAGAGAAAATATTATAGTCACGTATTTTAAATGATGTTTTTTTTTTTTTTACTTCAATAACAATATGAATCTTTGCATATCTAAACGCTCGTTATTGCGTGTGCGTGTATACGTGTATATGCTTATGCAGGTACGCATGGATGTGTTTATACAGATGTATAGATACGTAGAGAAATAAATATAGAGATAAATGGTTGAAACTTGAGGATAATATGGTACAGAGTTTCCTCGCCATACCGAGTCGAATATTAAATGCCAACAATACTGCCATTAAACGCATATTCTGCGAGGTTATTTTATTTTACGGACACGTTAAACGTATCGAATGTTTCGAATGTTTCGACAAAGCAGGGCCACCGAGTTCGTACTGTTACTTTCGTGAAACAAAACGAAATGTGTTTGAAGTGCGCGGAGCCAGACTCCAGGTAAGCAGGGTCAGGTTAGCCTGAGTCTGGGAGCGCACCTGAATGCGTAGCTCCTGATTTTCTCAGAATTTCTCTTTTCCGTAGTTCAGTCGCTCTTTATAAGCTGTACGTGCGCGCGTATGTGTGTGCGTGTGTGCGTGTGTGCGTGTGTGTGTGTAGAGAGAGAGAGAGAGAGAGAGAGAGAGAGAGAGAGAGAGAGCCTGGGTCTTGCCGAAGTTGAAAACCTCGGTGGGCATTGTTGTATCCGGTCGAATGTTGCCAAGCGATTTTCTCTTTTCATCAGCGCTCGGCAAGGGCTGCGTTGCTTTCCGGGAAATTAAGCTTGCGACAGCCGTGGACCGCCCTTGTGCCTGAATTTGAAATTTATCGCGGTAAGGCAATCGTGAAAGCGCAGTAAACTACTTTCCGTGCGCCAGAATCAAATTCCATTTCACACGCGGGAGGGATTATCGAATTACGCAGTAATTCACTGACTTTCCACGGCCTTACGAACTCTTACCTACTTTACGATATAAGTGCTTATTATTATTCGTGTGCTTGTCGGGACGTTTATAGAAGAGAGTCTAATTTACGTTGGAAAATACGAAATCACCGAGCGGAATTCATTTATGAAAACTATTGCCAACCGAAAGTGTAATAAGCTTGAGATTTATGGGGGGGGGGGATGTATTCCAAGTACTAAGTTGAATTAAACGTACAATGTGACTGTATAAGTAAGCAGGCTACAATCATATTCACTAATGGATATTGACGCGCATGTTTGATTTATGTGTAATAAGCATACGATGTGTATATTATATGAGATAATTGGTCGATTAATCATTTTAAACTTTTCGAACAACTGCGCGAAACTTGCGGACCTCTTGCGCATAAAATCTCAACAGACTCGTTTAGAGACAACTTAATGGCAGTATAGTGTAGAGGAGATATTAATTTACGATAAGATGGCCTGCATATGCAGTGTAATTGAACACTCGTCTTTATTATAGGTTCTTCGACATCTTCGAAATTCGGAATAAAGCGCGGTAAAGCACTGTCGTCATTTGTCAAACATTAGAGTTTGAATGGTAAGGGTCAATTTTCAAATTTCATCTCAATTAATATCAGTTAATATTGAGAGGGCGCAAAACTCGTATCATCATACGTAAGAAATGCATGTGGAACTTTCTTTTGCGTTTCATTTCATTTCATTTCAATTTACAGCGATAAATAGAGCGACGATTGAAATTGAAATATCACATTTTTAATAGGAGTAGAAGATGGTTAGACACATTATACAAAAATTATTCAAAGTCTAAAATTATTTATGTTTCATTGCATTTTAATCAGCTGGCATCAAAGACAAATATGTAATTTTGCAATTTGTTATATCGTAGATTATGGAAGAATATTCGTAAAGTAATTTCATGGCTCTTAGCATGAATATAATATGCAGTAGGTTAACTTGCTTGACTCGCTAATTCTCTTCTTTCATTTTCATTTACATATGCCATTGTATAAATAGCTAAGATTTGAAATGTTTATTTTAAGGAATTAATATATCCGTAAGTTTTATTTGAAAATGTAAAGTATTATATGTGCACTATTAACCGTCGAATCAATAAATATCGTTATTGATTATCGTCCATTAGAATTTTACTCTCAATGAATAAGCACTTCAATTGCATTAAGGCGCTCGAGTCTTGGAAAAGAAAGGTAATGGATAATTCATATTAATATCAAATTATTATATAAAAATCTTAAGAGGTGTACATAGAAAATTCTTTTTTATTTTTCAATTGTATATGATTATAGCTAATTGTGATTTAGTCCAGACATCGACCAGCGCAAAGACGTGAGATAATTCATTTGAAACGATGATTTACTCCGGTAATTGATCCGCAATGGTATCAAACTTGCCCATGCCATCACAAGTATTGCAAACAATTAGATTTGAAAGTTGTGTTATTATACAAAATCGTATCATTAAAAACGAAAGCATTTGGACAATGGCAATTTGTTTTAATGAAACAACACCACCTCGGGTCAAGAATAATATGGTTTTTCAAATTCCAATAATTTTCAAAAAATTTAATTTTTTCCAATAGAGGGGAAATTCGATCGAGACGCGCTTATGGTATCCTTCGAATATATTGAAATGAATCGATGTTACCATTCGGTTACATTGCTCGGCTGATAGATGCGTGTGACTTTCACCCGAGCCTCTGATAAGACTTTATCATCCTCTCGCACTCGAGGCATTCAGCACGGTGTAAAGGTGTAAAAAGGGTGTAAAGTGTATCGGATAACATCTCACTTGCTCGTTCGTCCCACCTTCTAAAATTCACGTATTTCACTTGCTGACCTCCTTCGACGCGAACAAAATTAGCTCGTCCAAGTGGACTAGCGCAAGATCCAGTGCAGAGGCGTTATAGATAGGCGTTAGTCCTTCCCTTCACCCCACCCCAACCACCCTCCACCCACCCCCGCAAAGACAAGCAGGGCCAATATAAACAAAGACACCAGTCGTGGGTCGGCCCGCCTACCCTGATCAATAGATTCGAACGACTGGTGGTCGATAAAACCTGAGGGAGGGGCCATTGTACTATTAGTCTGGCTTTAGGTATGTCAAAGAAAGTCAGCGTCGACCGGGGGAACGGACGAGCGGCAAAAGTACAACGGCCACGCGTTACGGCAAGTTCAGCCGAGCCGCAAACCTCGATATCTTCCGGCCCGTGTGTTGTATCTTTATCGACCTCGTCGATCGCCTCATTCTTGTCCCTCGCACTTACATTACAGCCCAAATTGCGCTCGTGCCTTACTCGAGCTCGCGACGACAAGAAAGA